GGATGGGAGAAGGGAGGACTGGGAGGAGGACGCGGCGGAAGGCAGGAGAGATGCGGGGCGCTGTCTGTTCCAAGCGATGACACAACATCACAGTATATTCGGGAAATTGCTTTGATGTACTGCGTGGCCATGTAAGTGTTAGTAGTGTCGTGGTCGACGTGTTAGTGGACTGGCGTGGCCGTCGGTATGCAGATGGATCGAAGGTTCATGTTGATATTCTGCGCCTGGCCGCGCTGTGGCAGGTTGCCACCAATAGAAATTTGGTAGGGCAGTGAAGAATCAAGTGGCTGACGGTTGGGAGCCGTGACGTACACGTGTAGGCCAACGTGGCCGTCGGTCGTTGTGACGTCACGTGTAAGCAAATCTCCTGGCTCTCATCCTCGAAGAGAAGCCGGTGCATCCTGAACCGTATCATACCGGTATTAAACTCAGAACCAAACGCGGGAATAGGAAGCCAATTCCGTCACCAGGTAGAACGAAGGCATGGTGCAACGTACCATCTGTTGCGCGCGCTGCGTAATGTGAGAGATGCCATAGCTGATTCAAAGCAGGTGGTAGACAGATAAGAGAAACTTGCTCCAGTTTCTCAGGAGCAAGAACACGAAGATAATGATGTAGTCGCCCGTTAGAGGTCGGCCGCTTGAGCCAAGCGGCAGCGGGCGTCGCCCGTTAGAGGTCGGCCGCTTGAGCCAAGCGGCAGCGGGCGAAGGCAGGGTGCCCACGATGCTCGCCTTCCACATACGTTCAAAATACACGGCGGCCACAAGCCCCCAAGACGGCCACAAGACGGCCCAAGAAGCCCCCAAGACGGCCACGACGGCCTCCAACACTGCCAAGATTGCCCCAAGAGGGCTCAAAATGGCCCCAAGATGGCCTCCAAAACGGCCCCAAGCCGCCTCCAAGACGGCCAAGATGGCCCCATGGCGGCCCAAGACGCCCTCCAGACTGCCCGCGAGGCCCCGAAGACGCCCCAAGTTGGCTCCAGGGTGACTTCCAGGTCAAACTAATTAATTGTTCTTTGGGTCTCCCAATGATTTTAGCGCTCTCGCCTTCTCGGGCGTCCGACGCCCCACGGCGGGCGGCCCCATGGGCCTGGAAGATCGCCCTCGGGCTGCGCTCGAGGCCCCCAGGAGGCCCGCAAGACGGCCGAAGAGGGCCCCAAGACAACCCAAGAGGCCCCCAAGACGCCTCGAATACAGCCCCAGCGGCCCTCAAGCGCCCAAAGAAGAACCCACGACTGCCCATGAAGGGCCCAAGACGGCCTGAAGCCCAAAGCGGGCTGCACGCGACCTTGGAACTTGAACAGCTTGCAGGCGCGCTGGGACTTGGCGCCTGTCTGCGCCGATGACGAGCTTGCATCCGCGCGCCAGGTGCGCCGCTCGAGACGAGGTGCTCGCGGCGCAGGCAGTGAGTGCGCGCAAAAAACTGCACGTCAACGATTAGTTTTTCTTTTGGCGCGCACCCAGATGCTCTCGAGCATTCAGCATCCTCTGAGCGAGGGTTGACGGGGGAGGCTGAACCATCACGCGCGAACAGCCTGGCCGAGACGATCTCCGCCTGCGCAGGGCGCCGGCCGAGGCGATCGCATCGCCGGCGCGGGCAATCCAGCGAGAGGTGAGGGGGGCTACCCTCCACTGGGTGGCGAGCCGCTGTAAAACTGGAGATGCGGACGCCGAGCCTCGCCAGGGTTCTCGGCGGCGCGGTCTGCAGCGCCATTCCCAAGATTGCCGCCGAGAGGGCGCCCCCCTTCCTCCACCGTGGCATTCGCGACGTGCGCCTTCGCTTTCCTCTGCGCGGGTGGGCCGCCAACCCAGTCTTCAAGTCTGCGCCTGACCTGCGCCCCAGAGGCACGGCCGCGCGGCAGCCGGGGCAATCGCGGCGACAAACCCGCGCGGCGCTTATCCATTCCACGCGAACTCCGAGCCAGCGCGGGATGCACTGGCGGCGCCGCGAGCATGAATCCCGCCAGTAGCGCATGGAGCTCAGCCCCGCCAACGCCCCAGCAAGGCGACGGGGGCAGGCCCGCGACTGCAGCGCGAACTGAGTTGCCGGAGGCGAGAGCGACGCCCAAGCCGCCTGCCCACGCACGGGATAATCCACACAGGGGCCCGTCCAGGTTCGCATCACCGGTGAGGTCCTGACGGTTCCCATGGAAGAAACAACACCAGCGCCCTTGGGATAGCCCAGCAAACGCCACGGCGGCATGGGCAGCGGCAGCGGCGCCCGCTCGAGCAACATCCCATCTAGGTCGTTGGTGTCCGCGCTCTGAATGGAGGCCGCCACCGCAGCTTGGACAGACCCCCATCGCTGCCTCAAGCACGGCAGCACGCCCAGTGGAACAGAGCAGGAGGGCCCCAGGGGCCGACTTGCACGCGAGACACGTGGGGGACTTGATCCCCCAGAAGCCTCCGCGAAACCCGGGGCGCTCAAGATGCTCCGAAACATGCGGGCGGATCAATTCCCTAACAGCATGCCCGACGCAAGATTTGAGCACCCTGGGGCGCATGTCTCCCACGTCGAACAAGCTGCCCTCAGGAAGCCCCCAGACGCGCGCCCGGTCAACAGATGCCCCCGCGCGGCGCAGGGTTGCCAACGGTGCCCCGAGAGGCCCGCGGACTTGAGGGCGCGCGCGGCCTTTGCCCGAGAGCGCTTCGCGCGCGTGCCCGAGCCCTCGCCCGAGGACACGTTCGGGCGCGACGTCACTCCAGAGCGCGCGACACAAAAAAACTCTGATAGGCTCGAGCGTGGCCCGCCAAATCGAGTCAAAGTGGCGCCGCGGTGCCAGGGCGCGCGCGACGGCGCGGCCCTCGCCGCTAGCCCTCGCCTCCAGGGAAGCCGCAGCCTGCGATCTTAACATATGCAGCTCCACCAGGGCGGCGCCTCGAACGGAAACGCCGAAAATGACGGGCGTTTCCGAAGCAGCACTGGGCATCAAAGCCATCGTATTCCTCGTGGCGGCCCTCCCTTGAAGTTGCCGCAGCCGCTTCAACTTGGCCTTGGCGACCTTGGTGCGTTCGCACCGAGTCGCTCTCAAGAGATGCCTGCACGAAGAATAATCAACTCCCAAGTTGCGCTCGGCCAAGACGCCCCTCGACATCAATGAGACCAACCTGGCGAACAAACAATATACATGGAGAGCGGGGTCACTCGCTAGCACCTGGCTTTCGCCCCGGACGACCCCAAGGTCAACTCGCGCCAACTCGAGCTACGGCCGGACACCAGCACCAACAATCTCATCAATAACTCGGCATCGCCCCCTGAACGTTGCGGCCCGAAGTCACGCGCAACCACGGACAAAGGGAAAAACGCGGCACCGCCTCCGCACGGCGTCGAGCGGTCCCAGCAGAATCAGCTGCAACGGGGCAGTGGCGAACCCATACCCAAGGATGATGATGGTTTCGGCCGCGAGGTGCTCTTTGACGGCCCCTTGGAAGGCGCAGGAGCCTCGGCGAGCGGCAAACCTCACCCACTACCTTTAACTGCCAGAACGGATATTCAAGTTTGCGCGCGCGGCCCCCGGCAGATGGCGGCGCTCGACCAACGCGGGCGCCTTCGTGAGGTCAAGCAAAAGGGCGGCAGACGAAAGCCCTTGGGAGTGGAAATGCTCAGCCCAGACCGCGTGGATATACGCGCGCGCACACGCGCGCGCCAGCGCTTTTGCCCTGCGTGGCCCACAAGTAGGACCTGTCGCCGGCCTTTTGCAAACGTAAAATGAGCGATTTCCGAAGTCGGCGCTGGACGCGACAAAGACAGTGCAACAGGCAGAGAGGCCGAACGCCTCCAAGGCGTTTCATCGCAACAAAACAATATCGATGGCGAGGGGCGGCCATGCTGCCCGCGCCTCAACGTTCACGATCAGCATGCGCAGCTCGTCGCGCCCACAACCCGCGCCTACCCTGAAGGGTTGAACCGCCTTCGGGGGTGCGGGGGGCGGGGTCTGGCGCCCAAGTCGCTGGGCCATTCTGGGCCGGGCAGCTTCCCCCCCGCCCGCCACCGCATGGACGGGCCCTCCTCGAGCCCCCCCCTCCATTTCCCCCGCGCCGGCGTCGGGTCGGAGGGCAGAAGAGTCGAGGGCGGGAGGCTGCCGGGCATCAGGCAACCGCGCGCGCTTGAAAAACGCCGAGGCCCCTCCGACGGCGCGAGACTTGAGCCAGCGGTTCCAGCTGGCCATCTTCGCCCGGGCGGCCAGCGCGCGCACCCCGTCAGCATGCTCGCGAGCACGGGGCGCGAAAAGGTCGGAGACAACGCGCTCGAGCGCCTTGCGCCCAGAGCTCCCGAAAGCGCCGCGGCGAGGCCTCGCCGCGCCGAAAGCGCCGCGGCGAGGCCCGGGGCTTCCAAATCTGACACTGGCCCGCTCAGCCCGGGCAACGCTCATGGGCGCCACCAAGGATTTGCACGGCCAGGCCATGGGCCCCCACCAGGCGGCCCGCGGGCATAGCCTAGGGAAAGGGGGCGGGCGCGGGCTTGGCGGGCCTGCGCATCCCACCCAGCCTTGGGCTCCAGATTGAAGCCGCCCATAACGACATAGGGTAGGTAGCCATCTTGAGTGCAGCCCCGAGACGACAGAGCAAATCCCAACTGGCAGGCGCGAGCCCGATCGAGTTTTGCAGGTACACTGTGCATGCTAGAAAGCCTCCAGGAACGAGGCCCCCAACGTGTAACACAGCAGCTCTCCACATCCGAATGTCCTCGGGAACTGTCCCGCGACCAGCAAAACCTATGCGGCTAGGAACTGCCATCGTGAGCCCAGCCGAGGAACCACCACTGGACGCAGCAAGAGCCTCCGACAAACGAGCTCACGGCCCGCGAAACTTTTCTTGCCAGACGTTCGCATCAAAAACCTTAGTCTCCCGCGCAGCAACAAACCGCGCGCCTAGGACAGAAGGAAAGGTGAGGAGAAAATCTAACTCTGCACGATCATTGACGCTCGAGCAAGCTAGCCTCCACGAGGCTCTCTGCGTAGAAACTGGCCCGGCATGAGTAGCGTATTGGCTGCCCTGCTATTTACCTTTTTTCGCTGCACGAGCTTCCTCCTCGGGCGCGGCGTCCAGCTGCGAGCGGGTGGCGCCGCCCTCGCCGTCGCCCTCGACGTGGTCAAGCCATTCACCCTGCTTGAGGATGCGGACCGCCTCGTCCACGTCGATGTCCTCCTTGCTGTCGACGGTGCTGCCTGCGCCTCCGACAACGCCCGGCTGATCAGCAACACTCCCAGGAACAGCAGCATCACCACCTTCACGAAGGTCCGCATCGTCCTGGGGCACTGCTTGCTGTTCGGGTTTGGCCTTAACGTCGGCCCCTGCCTTGGCCTTGTCACGCGACTGCACGACTGCCTTGACGGTGCCCAACATGCCTTGCTCGAGCCCAAGCTCCGCCAGCTGCTGAAGAAAAAGGTCGGGAGGATCGACAGACTGAGGGCGCTGAGCCTGAGACTGCTCGCCGAACGCGGTGGCGGCGATCCTCGCCGCTTCGTGCTCCTGCGCCTCCAGCTCCAGGTTCTTGGTTTTGAGCTCCCCCACGCGAATGGCCGGCGCCGCGAGAGAAGCTGGAGCCCTCTCGAAGTGCGGTCTGACTCGCACGGCTTGGTCCTTGAGCGTGTTATGTCGCCGCTTGGCCTGGCGGGTGCACGCGAGGGGATTACCATCCCTCGCAACACACTCGGCCAAGAGGGTCGCCTTCTGCCTGGGGGTGGCCCATATGCTGCAAACCTCGAAATGCCCGGCGGACATGCTGAGCAACGTACTTTTGCGCTCGGGCGTGAGCTTCGAGCCACCCAGCGGCTGCGGGAGCACCCTTGCCTCCGAGAGGGAGACGCGGAGGCGATACCAAACACCGCCAGGAGCACGAGCATGCACCACTGCAGGAACGGGCCATTTGTCACGACCGCACGCCCAGCACGTCGTGCGCCAGTGGAGATTATTTGTGAACCTGCACTTCTTGTGACAGCACGCCCATGTCTGCTGTAGCCACGGTCGGCGTACATTGCGTCACATCGGCGCGAGAGAGAACCAAGACACTATACCGATAAGACTGTGCAGGCGTGACAAAATCAGCAGGAACTCAGATGATGCGTTCTGATGGCCGCGAAACCCCTCTTGCCACAAACAAACTCTAAGTCCTCGAGCCACTGCTACGGACTTGAGCCAAAATGGCTACGGATTCTCTTGTTCCTCCTCCTCCTCCTCCTTCATCCTCATCCTCCTCATCCTGATCTTCCCCGCTGTTGTCCCCCAAGTGTTCCCCGAAGGGTTTCCACACTGGCTGGGGGAGCACATGGTGGCAGAGTCCTTGCCACAGCGTTCGGACACACGGGCGATTCCCAGAAGGCGGGGGACGGCGGGGATTCGCAGTACGCGTTTTCGATGTGAAAACGACTGGTCTGAGCCCTCGGACACGCATCCACGTGCGTTCCCCCCATGCTGAGCGAGAAAGATCGGATCGGACCAGCGCCAGGGGGGGAAACATCGCACTCGAATCGGCCATACGTCGCCGATAGATCAGCGACTGGCCCCCGAGAGCGAAGCCGCACGCTCCCAGGCGGGGTGTGCCATCAAGCTCCAATTGGCGACGAGTGGCCGTTAGGGAACCCCCCCCCTATTTCTGCCCTGGCCACAACGACGATGGAAAATGAAGACGACGGAAAAGGACAACGACGGAAGAGGACATGGAGGAGGAGAGGAATTCGAAGGAGCAGGCGTAGGAGTAGGACAGATAGGGAGAGGGAGAGGGAGAGCAGGAGGAGGAGGAGGACGAGGAACAAGAGGAGGAGGCGGAGGAGGAGGAGGAGGAGGAGGAGAGGAGGACGAGGAGGATGAGGAAGGAAAGGAGGAGGCGGACAAAAAGGAGGAGGAGGAGGAGGAGGACGGGGACGAGGAGGATGAATAATGTGAATCAGTCGAAGAACAAGAACAAGAGAAGGGCGCCTTGGTCCGTGCCGGGCTCCCTGGAAGGGCTGGCGTAGCCTCGGTGACACGGGCATGCATTCGATCTGCGAATCGAACCCACCGGCGCAACGGCCGACCGGCAAAAACGCTTCCGACCCGCGCGGAATTCCAGATGGACGCGAAAAGGCGGGAAGATCCGGGCGGCATCAGCAGGTCCTCCTCGTGATTTTTTCCGTCGCTATCCTCCTCCAACCCCCCCTCTCCCCTCATCATTATTTCGTCTCCGTCCTCATTTTCATTCATATTCCCTCGCCCTCCTCCTCCACCCTAGCAAATTCAAATGATCACTATCACCAATACTAGCGAAGTATAGAAATATGTTTGGAAAATCTGCAAGCAAAAAGAAGAGAAGGTGTAGATCTTGACAACCGGCACCATAACGCCGAGGCGTAACGGCCGAATGCGGCCAGCCACTGGCCATCCTCGCGCCACCGCCGTGGTCGTCGGACCACCGCCACCGCATGGGCAACCCGTTGGCGGCATCGCCGGGGTCACAGTAGCCCGTGCTCGACCACGACTTCTCTCATGGCTCCACGTCGGCCCGCCATCCGTAACGAACATCGGCGAACACATGGCCTTTCAACTTGGTCCTGTCGGTAACCGGGCCATGGAAGTCAGCAGCCCCTCAGAAGGTGCGGCCAGGTGCGCGCAAGTAACGCGATAAATAAGGACTGTTGTACTTGATGCGGCGGAAATCGTAAACACTGCTAGGCTGCTAGGGTAAGCCGGTAAGCCAACCAGCGGCTGCCCTTCACCCGCGCGTCGAAGTCGCGACCTGGTGACATCACCAGCCACCACAAACATGATTCCTTGCGATGGTTCGTGCGGTGCCTGACGCCCCGAGTAGTTAACGGCAACGGGCCAGCATGCGTGCTAATGGAACGAACATTGGTGGACATCGAAACCTTAGATTGTCTGGTACCAAGCGATATCGGGTGGCTCTAGGTATGTCTGGAGCCCGTCCTGGATTAAATGTTCGACGGAATCGCATTGTTGGCAGAACGCCTCTAACCCATCGGCAATGTTGATGAATTGTTCGGCTAACTCTTGGGCGGGGAACCTAACGGCCATGGCTCCGGATATAAATCTGTGACTTTCGAACATGACTCGGCAACCCTGAACGCGAACGGGCAGTGAAATACGAGTGTAGCTCAACACCCAACAGCTTGCATGGGCACCTGGTGACCACGGGGCAATATGGATTGCAACGCTGAAGTGGATCGAGCCCATCACACTTGCTGTTCGGCCCTGCGCCCCGAGTGCTCGGTCTGCCACGATAGGCGGGCGCGCTAACAACGTCATGGGTAGCTGCCTACGCATATCCCCGGGTAGCGGTACGAAGATCGTCTGGACCAAGCGAACCTCTTTTCCATGCGCGTCTGTGAGCTACCCGGGAGCCTGGTTTCTAACGTTGGTTCGTTACGACAGAAGGGGTCGCGAGGGAAACATTGAAGCGCAGATCAACACCATCGCTGCATGCGCAGTTCGGCGAAGACGAGCGGCATCTACGCGACGCAAAGTAGCGCCGATGACTCGAGCGCGTGGCACGCCGCGCGCGACGACCCTGATGGCGCTGTTCTCCGGCCCTGCACGGACGCGCGTGACGCCGCCCACGTGAGCGTTAGCTGGCGCCCGCCTCGCTCTCATGCTCCATCCCGCTCCCCCTCCCCATGCCCCCCCCCCCCCCTTCGCCTCATCCTCGCGCGCGTCCGATCCCTTCCGCTCCGCCGCGCCCCCCCCCCCCTTTTATACTCACGTCCGCTTCTGCCACTACATGGCGTTTCGCCTCGCGCTCCTCCGCCCGTCGCCCCCCCCCCCCCCATCCGGGCCCTGGCCATCCTCGCCTCCTTCTGCCCCGTCCGCTTTCTGCGCCCTTGCGAGGCTGGCGCCGATGCTGCGGGCCATCCCGGGCAAATTTCCCCCCTTCGCACCCCTCCCTTTCATCCCCCAGCCCAGTCGCCACCCCTTCTCTCACGCCGTCTCCCACCCAGAAGATCGCCCCCCGACGCCCCCGCTTTTTGCCCCCCCAAGCCACGGCCCCCTCCGCGACCGGCCGGGAGATCCGCGGGAACTGCCGCCCAATGACAAATTCAGCGAGTAGCGCGCCGCGCGTGCACAGGTGGACGCGCGAGCTCTGCATCTCGCCCGCGCGCAGCGACCCCCCCCTCCCCCGCGGGCGAACCGAGAGAAGCGCGAACGTCCCCGCCCAGTCGCCGCCACTCGCGAGGAGCACGCGTAAAAAAACACAGATTGGAGCGCGATCTATGTGCGCAGATCACACCATGGCTCGTGTAAGCGGTGGGCCCACACGCGCAAATACACAGCTGAAGACGCGAGCTGCGCGCGCAGATCACGCCTTGATCGGCGCATTTCGAGAAGGTGCAAGCTCGCCACCGCGAAGGCGCACCTACTGCGCCAAACCGGAACCGAAGTCGACGCCCACAGCTAGGGGGAGCGCGAACACGCGCGCCCCTTGCCCAAGGCGGCCCCCAAAGACTGCGCATGCGCGCATGCCTGGCACCGGGCGGCCACCTTGGAACACGGCGCCGGAGCTGCCCAACGGCCCCAACGCGCCCCAAGAAGGCCCCGATGGGGCCCCCCGCGAAGGCCCGACACCGGCCCGACAACATGACGAGAAGGTCACACGTCACGGGCGTCTGAACAAACATAACTCGAAACGTCGCCGCGCAGACCGCTGCGCTGGCACGGTAGCGGACCTTGCCGCAGACGCCAAAACCTTCACATGTGAGCGCTGCGACTGTGTGTTCTCGGCCGTTGCCGCCCGCGCTCGGAAGGCGCTCCGAACGCGCGCGTTGGCGGCGCCCTCTATTTGGCTGGTTCGTTGCATTTTCGTCGATCGGCCGGTATACTACGAACGCGGGCGCGCGGGCCCCTCCCTTGCTTTTCTCGGAGATGGAGGGAGGACGAGGTGCGGCGACGGATGGTGGAGCAGGGGCTCAGAGAGGAGGAACGAAGAGCAATGGGGGAGGAAAGAATGGCGACCCCCAGCCGGAGCCGCGGCCGCGCGAACAACTGCAACTTCAAGGGACTAGAATGGCGCGGCCCTTGTCACGAGCGATCTGCTGCTTCGCAAAAGGCGCCTCTGCGGGCGATGGATAGCCCGCCCAAGGCGGACAAATCGTCCCAGCAATGCCCTTGGCAAACGCGAGGGGCCTCCGCGTGCTCGATGGCGGGAACCGGACGCTGGCGCGGGCTAGCCGGGAACTCGCGCGCCACATCGGCCCCCTTCGCAACCGCCGGCGATGGCGCCAGCTGAGGCCAGTTAACTCCGCTCGCCGATGCCCCCCCGCTGCTCGACGCATCAGCAGGCGCCTCGGGCGACGGTTCAGTCCTTCCGCTGGGGCTACTGCCACCGCCGCATGGGTAACGGTCGCCCGTCTTTGGCCTGGAGTAGCTGCGCCTCTCGGCCGACTTGTCGCCCTCGGCGATCTCGGTCGGCGACGGGCTCGGGGGTGGCGACCCAGGCGCCCAGTTGTCCGCGGGCGACATGGGCGGCGCAGCACCGACAACCTCTGCGATGCTGAACTTGGCGCGGGAGGAGTAGTCGCTGACAGAGTGCGCTCTACCAGATGTCCATCCATTTGACATGCAGCGTCGGCTTTGACTTGGATGTTGGCTGGATCGGGCGAACGTTGGACGATCCTCGAGGCGTTGTTGGCCAACTCTGCGACCCTGGCCATGTCCTTTGCGGTCTTGCGACGTCTGACAGCCCGTGCGTCCTCGGCGCTGCCCTGCGACATTTCGAGCTGGTTATCGGCCCCTCGAGCAGCTGGCGCCATTCCTTGGACTGGTCCAGGCTCGCATCTAACATCGCTGATCTCCTCGTGTACTCTGTTGACTCGGATGCGAGCATTGAGCGCCCCCTGCAACGCTGCGCCGCGATGCGCCATCATTGGCTGTAACGCGGCGCGATGCGCGTTGCGACTCGTCCAAGCCTGCTCGACGGAGCGGCGGGCGCAACCCTCGGCCCCGAACCCCTGGCCCATGGGATCCATGATAGACATTTGTTTGTCCGGGCGCCCCAGGAAGCAATCCTTGGCAACCTCTGTTCCCAGACGAGGCCCGACGGCGGCGGCGGGGTCCTGGCCCGCCAGGAACGTCGCGCGCTCTGGGGCGGGGCGGCCGTCAGACGCCATGTAACAGCGGCAGCTGGCAATGTGACAGGTTCTGGGAACTGGGGAAATAAGAATAGCAACTCCTTGATGCCAAACGGCTGCGGACAGTCATGGATCGGTGGTTGATGCTAACCGATGTCTACCTCCGAGCGCGAGCAGACTTGCATCGCACATGTGCTTCTTGCACAGTTAGCGGCCAACGTACTTGGTTAACATGTCTGGAAATATTCCCAGCAGTAGAAGCCTTGACTATCCTTCTGTCGCCTCTCCTCACTTTCTCCTGTGACCACAACTGGCAGACTTCCATGTGCCTCGCCTTTCCCAACCCTCTCGCGCTGGCTATGGCTACTGCTGTAATGCCATCGCTCTTCAGGGTGACTTCGCCTCAAGCTTAGAATTCGCCAATGCAGATTGAATAAAACCACGGATGGTCCTTCCGAGATACAGACATATCCAACTTCGCCAGACGATGGTGCTCGAACGCTCTGGGCCGAATTCCACGCTGCGTGTCCCCCCGGAGCTACCCCCCAGTCGTAGACTTCAAACACTTATTGCACCCTGCGTGTTCGGCGTTCGTCCAGGGTGAATCCCAAGGTTGGCTCCTGTCAATCACATGAAAATGTATAACTGCTTTGTGCTTCCATGTATTTCTCGAATTGAACTAAAGCGTTCCAATGCCCCTTGGCGAGGCATAGCATGTTTCTGGCAAGCTCTTCAACCGCAGACTGAATGTCTGACCCATCCTGTGCCACACGGCCAACTCTCGCTACTAGCGCTTGAGACTTCTTCGCCCCCGCTGGGGGGCAGCTCAAATTTTCTCCGGGCGCCTCGGATCTGGCACTGTGTCCAACTAAGTGCAGCTCCTTGGATCAGATCTCCACG